GTTCTAGAACTGTAGGGGCAGACAGCCATTGACAAATCTCAATTGGTACTCTGTTTCTCAGCTGAATATCGTAGGGTATCCGAGAGTGCCGACATCCCAGTAAAGATCTTGTTCCAGTGTCGATCAACAGCCATAACATCGGGGTAATCAGGACCCTTTATTGCTCTTCAGGGCCATTTGACAATCAACTAGCCCCCAAGGATATGAGACATTTACGCCACGATACCTGTCACTTACCCTTCTGAGCATGCCGAGCTGGCCTCTGTTAAGGTTTGCTCCATTGAAGGATTGCAGGGGTGTCTCTCTGAAATACCGAATGTGGCTAGATTCATCACTGGGGGGATATCGGCTGGTAGATGCCGGGACATGCCTCAGCAAAAAGGCCAATTCGTCTATAGCTTTGGCCCGAACAAAGTAAAAGCGTTGCATCATAAGATTTTAGAACGAAGATCATCATCGAAAGTGTAAATACGAGTTCCTTGGTTCAGACAAATCCACGATTATGCGGGGCAGCGAGATTGGGACTTTGGTTGCTGACATGAAAGTTGCTGACAAGATGGCCTCAAGCCACAAGCCTCAATCCAGGGTCCAGACGTATATAAATAACGACGACTTCCGGATTCTAAAGATGACAAATTGAGTATACTCAAGTTCTCAAACAGCGTTGAGAATTCCTCTCCGAGTCCAATTAAAGCATCATCTGTCCACTCCTTATCTCAAACTCTGAATTCACCATGCTTCTCTCCTCAGTTAGCCTCGCATGCCTGATCCAAGGGATCCTGGCACAGACCACCATCATTACTGGTGAAAACAACAAGAACTGTCCTGGTGTACTCAACAATCCCTCTGACAACAGAGCGTATTGCTGCGTTGGTGGCAAGCTTGACCTGAGCACATGTCAAGGATGGCCTATCTGCACAGGCAGTTCTTGGGAACCCAAGTCAATGAGTTGCTACACCACGATTCCTGTCTCAGCATCAGACTATGACTCGCGGGTCAAGAGTGCAAGCTCGAGGTACCTGAACGGTGCGGAGGCATCAGCTACTGACGATTCGTCGTCCGCAACTTCAACTGGTGATAGCGCCAAGGACACGGCTTCCAAGACAAGTACCGGGGGAAGCGCAGAACAGACGGCTTCGGAAACCAGTACTGCGACGAGTTCTTCTCAGACGGGCAATGACTCGAACATGAAGACACCGGGTTCGGTCGGCGGGCTGTTGGGTGGTATCATGGCAGTTTGGATGGTCCTGTGAAGCGCTTGAGTCAGCAAGAAGTCTGACATATCCGGAAGAACATGTTTAAGGGGTATGAAATCAAGTAGTTCTCACTGAGAGCTCGAGAAATTCATAAGAAGTTGTGACAACCGAGCATCTCTGTTTGTTGAATTTCTTAGACCAGGCTATGCAGATGCAAGTGTCTCGAAGCCGTATCAAATTGCATGCTTGTTTTAAAACTGTTCCAAGGTTTTGCGAGTATACACCCCAGCCTTGTTTTACCTGGCGATACTGAAAAACTCTTCCTGTGTTGATGCTGGTTCGTAGTTTGTTACTCAAGTGGAGCCCCACCGCCTTGTCCTCCTCTCATATGTCTTTGGCAAACAACCACGCAAGCACCAACTTGAGCCCTATCCACGATGCCTACAACCACATACGACCATACCTGCGGTAAAGTACGGGATCCCGTCTGCTCTCCCTTAGTCAAGCCCGCAAGGGGTGGATTAGTAGTTGGGTCGGAGACGACCAGCGAATACCTGCTGTTGTATGTTTTTTGTCTTGTGAACAGAGTGGTAAAGACATGCAACTATACTGTAATTTCATTTTTGACATGGTTCATTTAAGTTCAATCATTCTTTTTGAAGAAAGGTAGTGTCGGCAAGGGATATGTTTATTGTGGTGTCAGAGGAACCGATGTGCTAGCTACAGGATTATAAAAGCTCGATTATTTTTGCAAGACACCATCCTAGAACATCTACCCATCCACTGCCAAATCCATCCAATCCGCATCCATGTTCTTGCCCATATGAGCGATCTCGCCAATGGCTTATGCATGCCATTCTCTGTGAACTCGAAGCTCGTAAGGGGTCTCGCCTTGAGTTTGTCCGAGGACTCTGTCCACGACGATGGACCACATGAGCTCGATCTCTCCAGTATAGCGAGGATCTCCGGGCTGGTCGCTCTTGACCTTGACCCATCGATGGTGGGGCTGAGCGGGAGGCAGATCTTGGTCACCACGAATGATCCAGACACGAGCGACAAAGTCTGAATGAGTGCCTTCAAAGAGCTTGCGCTCCGGCTTGTCTGCAACCGGCACAGTCGTTGCGTCGCGGACCTCGAGGGCAGAAAGCGGCGAGAACCATACTTCCTTTTTCAGCTGGTAGTAGAGAAAGCCGGCCCAGAAACCGCCGCGGGTCGTCTCGGTCTTGTCGTAACCGTACAGGCCGACCAGGGGCCGAGCTGGAGATTCAAAAGACACCATAGCACCGCTGGTAGGGCAGAGATACTCGTTCGGACCAGGAGGAGGGAAGGTGGCGCCGTTGTTCCAGACCTCGCCGATGTGCTGTCCAGCAACAATGTCGTTGGTAGGAGGGTCTCCGGTCACTCGGAAGCGCTCATCGAAGCAAAAGCCCGGAATCCACTAGTCACTTGGGACTTTCTTTGCAACAATGTAGAGCTCCCTAAGGAAGGCTAGTTTGCCGAGGCAGAGGTCGGGGATAAGGTGGTCCTGGTCCGACAACTCATGATCAGGACGACGAGTACGAGGTTCATCAGGGTTGGTTCGGCCCTGGAGCTTCTGTCGCCATAGCTGTAGAGAGTCTCCAGGATAGTCTGCCCTATCGAACTTTGAGGAACACTGGTGGATGGGCTTGTCGCACCAAACAGAGAGAATTCTCCCGACGAGAATGTTGTCAGACAAGGGTTGAAATTGAGGCAGCTTCATGTCCCAAACTCGCAGCATATCGCGGAAAGGGTCGATGGTGAAAGCCTTGCGAGAGGATGGGAAGATGATAGCGCCTTGCGAGGGATGCCACTCACGCCGATGCGGCTGAGGCTGAACGATCGTGAAAGCTTCAACGAATCGCTTCTCTTTGATTGCATTGTAGATCATGCGGCATGAGAGCTTGAGGTTGAGAAGACTCTGTTCACCGGCAGAAGTGATAGGGCCATACTTTGTCTTTGCATCGCAGGGAACGGTGAGAGGGCAGATGCTAAGAATGAGGAATTCCATGATCATCGACTGCAGCTCTGGAGCGAGATCCAGGAAAGATTTCTTTCCAAGAACCAGCTGAAAAAGAATATGTTAATATGGTTGGATCGAGTCCAGAGCCGGGAGAACTTACTCGGGTGCCTCTGACAGGAGGATCCATGGTGAGACCGTGAGATGGACACTGAGGGATGGGGGTGAAGAAGGAAGAGATTGGAGAGGAATTTTGGAATACATAGATAAATATTTGCACCACAGAGACTTATCCAAAGGAGTGGGTCTTGCTGCAGCCACCATATTCAGTGACGTCCACTTATGCAGCTGCAGAGTATTCAGGGAAGTGCACGAGCAAGCTTCTCAGAAACGCAATACAAATAGTTGATTCAGCATAGGTATTATAAGCATACCATGGGCTCTAATAAAGTTAACATATATACCTGGACATGATTTGGATACTCTTTACTGATATAGTCTTTGTGCTTGAAGGCTGTTCTTGAAGAATACCACTAGTTTTGATGAACCTACGAATGAAACTCGATCACTTCGCTTTCTAGGAGCGAAGTCTCCCTCGGATGCTCTCACTAGACCATCTTATAAATATTCTATCTAAAAATTGAGGATTCAGACACAAATTGGAACAAAATAGAACAGCTTGCGCGATTGAAAACATCTCAACAACTAATCGCCTGTATACCAATGGCTGTGGACAATGGCATTGGACAAAACACATAGTTGTTGGCGTGACTCTTGAGGCCATCAACTATATTCCGATGAGTTTCCATGTTGCTCCAGACTGTAGATAAGTAAAATGTGGTGACTGTGAAAAGTCTTATCCTGATGAGATGATGTCAAGCATCACAGGGAACGAGATCACTGCAGCCAAAGCTCAGGACCCTACCGTCTCAGTGGCAGAATCTAGACGTTGGTTGAAGTTCTCCTCAGCATCCATTCGGGCGAATGGTTTAGTGGTATAATACTCCCTTAGCATGTTTTACGAGCGTAATCTGGGAGTGGTCCAGGGTTCGATTCCCTGTTCGTCCAATGTTGGTGGTTTGATTCCACCATTATCCACAATTTTTGCCGTTCACCGCTTTATGTCCTGACTGTCTCTTTTGCGCATGTCACCTACCCGGGACATCAACATATGGCCAGAAGGATTGTATGCCAGACTCTTAATTGTTGATAAATTTGTTTTACTACCAGTTTGGTGTTAAGTGTTTTGCATCTTTTCCCGTTTCAAAGTCAATTAATTGGTGACCTCCAGTGTATGATTGAGTTTCACTTAAATATTCACGTGCTGTTATTCGACAATTCATGCGCATTTACAATTGGCGGGGCATTCCCCTCTCAACCCTCAGCCTTGGACCCCACTGAAGCAGAATCACGAACTTGTCATGGAATTTATCGATGCCAAGCGCGCAAATGTTTCAGCAGCACGAATTGATGGAGCAATTGTCTTAAATAGGCCGTGCAACCCCAAGGAACGAAGATAATACCGGTGCCCTTCAGTCTCAGCCCCCGCTGAAATTGATTGCTACGTGACCCACAAAAGGGACAGCTGTTCTCATTCGTCAAATTTCAGGGGGGACCTTGCACCTTGCACAAGCCAGGCTGTCACTAATCATCTTTGGTCCTCTCCCGCTTCTCCAGATCAGTCAGATCCAATACATACACACACCAACATCCACCTCCATCAGCCTTGTCCCTGTCCCCGCCTCACTTTTCCATTCATTCTTTTGTCCCTCTCTCTCATGACTACGCAATAAGCCCCCTTTCTTTGTTCCCAGGGCCATCGCACCATGGTCCGCGCCCTCAATCTCCGCCTCGCCCTTCAGGCAACTGCTATCAAGGTCTCGGCAAACCTGGTCACCCAGATCATCATCCACTATAGAACACCAGGTGTATCGACTTTTGATGTCCAGCAGGTACTGGAGTTTGCTATCTATGGGTTCATAGGCTCTCAGGTCGGCAACATCATCCAATTCATTCTGGAGGACTGCTTCCCCACTGGCCACGCAATCAGGGCGAACGAGATCCTGCCGCAGGTTCAGGCGGATGCGAAGCAGGTTGAGGAGAAGAAGGACGATGACACGAGAGGAACGACTAGGAGATGGTTCAATATCAGTCCGGATCTTATTTGGCGCAACGTTTTGGCGAAGTTGATTCTTGATCAAACAATTGGTCTTGCCATCAGCGGGTCTGTCTTTCTCATCTGCACAAACATCGCACGTGTTTCACACCCCTTCCTCGTTCTGGAAGTAATCCGTAATCGACTTTGGCCACTCATCAAAGCTGGCTGGCATATCTGGCCATTAGTCGCCGTATGCAACTTCCTATGGGTTCCTGTGCGCTCTCGGGTTTTGGTGGCTGTTTGTGTTGGGTTCGGCTGGAGTATCTTCTTGAGCGTCTTTGCCATGCGGAAAGGACATTGATGGGTGTTAAGACTGGGTATTTTTGGTCTTTGCGTTGTTGAATGGGTGTTTAGAGGAATTCCCCTGCGGAGCACTTTTCTTTGTATCTTGGAGTTAGAGTTTTAAAGTTACATGGGATTTAAACATCGGCCTTAAGTTTCTGTATTATGAGTTTCGAATCATGAAGACTTTTTCCGTCAAGCCCTCAATAGCAATTAAAGAATAGAATCGCCAGGTTCTCGGGTCTTATCTTAAGCTAACACTGAGACAAGGCAGGTATTGCTGTCTGTGGATTGGAGGCCATGGTACTGGCTGAGGAAACACCACGGCGATTGCGGTGCAATATTATCCAAAAGTAAACGCACTAATGAAAACATCAAAGAAGCTGCCGAACTTGAAACAACCCAGGTAGTTACATGGAGCATTGCTATAAGTTCTACCTGCTTCCGTTCAAGATCAAAAAGACAGCGAATATTCAGCTTTTGCAGCCAAGATACGGCCTGCCTTTGGCCTCAAAGGCCAGATTATGGTGCATCCTGGCACCAAAAGCCTAACTGATCAAGTGGACCACCTGTGAGACCTGCTCCTTGGGATCAGGATGACTTGGCCGCGGATACGAAATGCAAATGCTGGGTCATCCATGACTTGCTCGAGGTGCATCATAAGGTGCCAAGTAGAACGAGGTTGTGATAGAAATCGGCTCTGGGCAAAAGTTTCAAGGAGGATGGGAAACGTTGTAAATGCCCGAAAGCATTGACGTGAGCCTGAATGGTTGGAAGATCAGGCCCGTGGCCCAGCATAGGCCGCGGCGGCGTGAAGAACGAGACAATTACTTAGCCACGTACTCACGACATTGCTGAGTAGTCTGGGATCGGAGTACTTATCATCTCGTACCTGAAAAAGGCACTCCGTTTAGTGACAATCAAGCAAACTCTTCGGAGGCCGGCCGTCATCCTTCTGCGAGGAGGATATCGGGGTGCTTTCCATGCGTCATATGAGAGATGCGGTAATACCACTGCAGGGTATTTCTCCAGGTTGTAGTCGTGAGAAAGCCGATCAGGGAGGCTGGCGGTTTGCCGGATCTCCTCAGTGTTGGAGATGAAGGGACTTGAGTTACCAGTCGGTGGTCCTCGCTCGAAGAGTTTGCAATTGGGGCTGGTCACAATCGGTTGAGAAACTACACAACTCCGTAGATGAAGATGAATCTTTCTGGGCATTTGCCGAGTACCCGTGAGCGTTGTTGGAGACTTGTCAAGCGTTATCTCCAAAAGATGCTGGCATTAGTAGGGTAGAAATTGACTGATCTTAGGCCACGACCGATCGGCTAGATCATCATCGACACCCGGATCGGTTTTCCAATACTGTTCGAGTATTTCCAATGCTCGCTGGGTATTTAACAGTCCAAGCGCAGTTGAGACGCCTTGCAACGAAGTCTTTATCCTCGGCCTGTCGTCACCAAGTGCGTCGCATCCCGCAAAGAACAAGGGCGGAGTAAGAAGAGTGACTGGTGTGAGTCCGTCTCGTAGTGTCAGACGCTCTGCGCACTCGAGAATCTGCTTGACAAGGTTTTGCACGAGAGGTGACGACCTCCTCTCATTGCGTAAGCGCCGGTGGATGAGGAGCAGACCGGTGAGCTGCCATATCTGATTCGATATCCGGTATTCGTGGACTTCGGCAACAGATAGAACGCGACCGCGTATTGACATAACTGGCGGAGGATTCGCTTGATCTCGGTCGATTATGGACTGCAGATAGTTGAGGAGCCACCAGACCTCGGCCTCGACTTGACCGCCTTGCGATGAAGTCTCAGACGCTGTTCCATCATTGTTGATCCGGCGTAGTCGTGCAATCTCTTTGAACACTCCAAGGAGGTCCTTTGTACGCGAGAGATACATATCGATATACACAGGCTCGTCATCTGTGTCTGATGCGAGCGTTGTTGGCGAGGGGATAGTCGACTGTTGTGGAGCGAGTTCAGTCATTGAGTGGCAGACCAGCGATTCGGTCATGTCGAACCATCGGAGTAAAAATCGCAATTCGTCCGTCGGGTTCTGGGAAAGACCTTTATCGTGTATTCGAGAAATGAGCCCACGCGCTCCACGGAAGTGAACACTCCATCGATCTGGGCTGGGCTCACTGGCAAAGACTTCGCAAACGAAGAGTGCTCTTGATGCGGCCAGCAGGGGAATGAGTTGTTGATCTTCATCACATTCGGAGAGTTTCTGGCAAAGGGATCTCGAGCTGAGAGCTTGAAAGCCAGCAACGATGAGCGCTTGCGAGGACTGCTCCTCGCTGGTTTTGCAAGTCGCAAGTCGGTGAGTGGCCGCCAGTGCAACAATGCCCTGCAGTAAGGGCTCATTGAAGACAGCCATTGGCAAGATGAGTTCGCATAGCTCATCAAAGATCTGTGGATGTGGCGCAAGAACTTTGACGGTCCTCTCGGTGAAGTACTGTAGGCCTGATCGATGCAAGGGTGATAGGTGACCGAAGAACTCAACGGATGGGGTTAGAGGAGACATTGGCATTTGCCTCTGACTGACAACAAGTTGAGAAGACTCCGAGTCCTCTGATGGAGAATTTTGTATCCACTCTGGCTCATCGACTTTCTGATCTGGAGGAGGCGATGTAGCCTTTGGCGGGCCTGGTCTGGGAGTAGAAGGAGAAACATAGATGAAGTTTTTCTTGTTCAAATCTGAGAATGTTAGTATGTATCTTGCCTAGTAGACAATTGACATGCCTAATCTTTGAACGTTGCCTTCATTTTGTGACAAACAATCGCCAAAAGGTGACCGATTAAATGGCCTCCCTCCCCAGCGGAGCTTCACCCCGTATTCGCATTTGACCCCAGCAGTCTGACATCTCTGACACGAGGGTCTCTCTTCACTGCACTTCTTTTTAAAGCTCTTACACCTCGCACAACCAACCCATGATCGACGCTGCGGTGGCATCACAGGGGCTTTGAGTTTGGGGCACAAAGCAAAACATGCTGCTTTGGGGTTATGTCATTTGCTAGGGAACAAATGAGGGCGGGGGAAAGTTAAGTTGGTGATGGAACGGTTCAAGGCGGCGAATGGAGATAAGGCTAGAGACTGCGCTAGTACGGACTGGGAAGGATCAGGCGACCGATTGCTTATCTGTGTCACCTGCACTGATTGTCTTAAACCTGAGTGGCTGCTCTTATCAGTCATGATAAGAAATGGATGGGTACGCCATCATAGACCGGACATCTTCAGTTTCTTGGCTATCATGAACTTGAGCATGTATTATCCAAGTAATCAATTGAATGTCTGTCGAGATTGCTAAGCTGCCTTTCAATGCGGGAACCAAAAGCACTGAAGCAAGATCGCTTCTGTTTGTCATCCATGATATAGCAAACACCATCACCATTAAAACAAACATCCTCTGTTAGCTGAGTCGGCAAGATGCCTGGATCAACTAGTAGGCAAACCGAAAGTCCAGTCGCTTATTGCCCTCATCCTTTGTGGTGTCAAGATAATGCTTCTTCTGTTCATCATCCATTGCATCCCAAATCTTGTCCCTCCTCTTGTTTCTCCAGATGTAGTAGGTTCTGGTCAACAAATACAACGTGATGTTGAGCGCAATGATCGCTAAAAGATTCTTGTTTCCTTCCCGGTACCTCGGCGTGTCGTCTTTGCGGTAAACGTTGGATGCGATAATACCGGCAGATTGAACGGACATGTTGTAGACAGCTGCCGAGACTGTCCTCAGACGAACAGTATTGGAGTTGCGCGAGTTCCAACTCACTTGAATTGGATGGGCTAGAAAGATGATGTTAGTCGGCGATAGGTAAGCCAAGGGAGGAGCAAACTCACCAGTTGGAGAACCAAGCAATAGTGTCAGCACCGCGAACGAGACCCATCTGTTGACCGTGCTCATATCCACGACGTATAGATAGATCATGAACGGTAGCTTCCAAATCTGAACAGCTAAACCAAGCAGAGATCTTTCACCCCACTTCTCAGCAAGGTATGATATCAGTAGCAGGCCGCCAATGGAGAGGATCGTATGCGGAATGGTCAAAAGATTGGTAACAAGAACATTGAAGCCAAGGCCACGGAGGGTTAAGGTGAAGTACTGAGCGGGCGGCGTGGCTGGGATCAAGAATGTCAAACCGATGGCATAGATCGGCCAGAGGTCATAGTCCTTGAGCGACGCCCATAGCAACTTCGGAGTAATGGGTTGGCGGTTATGCATGTCGCCCTTGCTGGGATCGTCACGGATGACTCGGTTCACCATAATGCGCTCCTCCCTGCACGCCGGTCAGTCTCGAAGGTCTATCCATCTCTGGTGCGACTTACCGCTCGGTGAACCAACCGTTCTTACCACGGAGAATGCCTGAGGTTTGAGTGGGGCCAGCAGGCATAAGAAACCAAGCGGAAATACCAACCGCGAGCGTCAGTAGGCCCTATTTGGTACCAGTCATCAGTACAGTCAATGATGCAAAGAGTCGGAATAACAAACCTCAAACAGGAACAGCCATCTCCAGCCCTCGTAGCCGTGCCAGCCTCGCAGTTGGAGGAAGCCTGCTCCAAGAAAACCACTGATGATATCGGCGACGTTGTACGCCGTCCAGAAGAAGGCCAGACGAACAGTGAGTTCACTCGCGGTGTAAAAATAACTCAGGTATAAGATCGTCTACAAACATTCCATAACAACGATTAGTTGCGGCAACTAACACTTGGACAAGAAGGCATCATTGACCACTCACATCTGGGATAAATCCGCCCTGGAAGATAGCCAGTAAAGCACGGCATGCAAGAAACGAAGCCCTTCCGTCCAACCAGAACTGGCCCTAAGCAGACCGTCAGTATCAAGAGGGACTTTAAGTATTGCATTACCTACCGCAGAGACAAGACTCCAGAGGCACAACTGCATTGGAATCCAACGGTCAGGTCCGAGGTACTTGCTGACAAGCTGGGAGGGAAGCTCTGCGCACAAAAAGGACAACTTGAAGACGGTATTTCCAAGATTGTAATCTAACAATGCAAAGTCAAAACGATGAAGCAATCTGGTATGAAAAAGACTAACCGTTGGTGTCCATCTTCAGGTCTGGCAGAAAGTTATCGGACACAGCTTGAGACAAATTCGATCGATCCAGCTCAAGAGCCATAAACATGACGCAAGTGAATATCATGATCCGTTTATCAATCTTTCGAATGACTTTGCGTTCTTCATTAAATGTCCATCTCTCGGAAGGGTCAAATCGATGCAGATTCTCCCAGTCAGATCGGGGCTGGTAGCGCCTCGCCATGTCTGGGTCGTCAAAGACGGACCGACGGGTTGCAACAGCCTCTCCATCTTGTCTCGGCCGTCGCTGCCACCAACTTCGAGGTTCCTCTGGCGCAGCGAGGAGAAGTGTAGCGATGAGAGGGGTTGCCTTTGTGGAGGGAATGGACTTGGAGGAGTCCGAGTCGGTTGGCTCAATACGGAGGTCAACAGCATTCTTCACGTCTGACTGACGAACATCATCAGACTGTGCCATTGCGAAGATCAGGTTTCTATTTGGTCCTCTTCAGCATTCTTCTCGTAATCACCTTGGATGTAACCACGCCTTTTGTATACATTGACGTTGGTATGCGATGGCGAAATCCATGTTCCTCATCTCGAAAGACTCAACTCCGCGGGGCTACTTATGTGTCTATGGCGTCAGGTATGGATACAATAGCGAGATGTAGGGGTTGCTTCTGATGGTATTATTCGGCTTCTTTTCTGACTATTGTTTGATAACCCCCCTGAAATGGTTGTTGAGACATGTGTGTCTCGATAGTGGACACTTCAGGCTTGCAAGTGAAAAGTAACACAGACGAATGGTCAAATTGGCCGATAACGCCTTTTCGGGTCTGTTGTACCTCTCCGGTTCTCGGTATAAGCTGCATTTCAGTCGTCCTTGGCAAAGATCTGTAGTTCACGACAGAACTGGGAGGTATTGCACCATTGCTCGAACAACCACTCAACAGCTTGGGATTCCGCCGCCAAGATAATTTCTCAACATTACGCCATTCCCTCCTCCCCGAAAATAAGCATAAGTTGATAGCCGCTGGTCAAATTTCACCTCACCGAAACTATGATGGTTCGCCTATCTCTGGCGCTTCGTCGCCTCGCATCTCGGGTCGGATCTCGCCCCCCACGAGCTCCTTTGAGCATAGACGAATCGGAGCATCACAATTTAAGGATGGGACTACCAAATAGGGCCTTTTTAGTCTATCTCCGCGGATTACTCTATTTGCATTTCGGAGACAAGATGACGTGCTTCCGGTCGAGGTCTTGAACCTGCCTGCCGAAGTACTCAACGTTCTGGCCGGTGTTCTTAAATCAGACAGAGTTTGGTATACCTCTAGAATTAAGATATAATTTCTATAAGTAGTAAATCCTATATTAAGGTTTTCATTATACAGTCTTAAAGCTTAAGCCTTAAAAGGCTTATTTTATTACATAGCCTTTTTAGAAACCTTTTTCTTCTTTGATTTTATATTAAAGGATGAGTTATATTTCTTTGGACAAAATTTCAACGCCATCAGCAATAGCAGTCCAAGTATCATGAAACACTAACTTGGGCCGATAATTCAACACCAACGAGCCTCGAGCAGGACGAACAATCGCAAGGGTGATAGTGCTCAGTATAGAAGGGTCTGTAGCCACCACCGATTCGAGGCTCCCCGTAAATCCATTCAAAGCCTTTTGTATTGCAACGAGATTTCTGTTGAGCCTCCTCTGTTCCTCGAGCGCTAGCCTCAGAATCGTTTTCCCTTGTGAGCGCTTGTGTATCGAAGCTCCCTCGTCCAAAAGAGCACGAACGATTTCGACAGATCCTTGCCGAGCGGCGTCTACTAGAGGCCACTGGAAGCACTCGGATACTGTGCTTACATATCTTGCATTCGGGTTCGCTCTAGCTGATAGAAGGTCTCGTGTGAGACGAACATCTAACAAGGCGATGGCGAGACCCAGTGGAGTCATACCATTCGCTGATACTATGTTGACATCACACCTTGCTTTCAGCAGCCATTTCAAAACTCTAGGATCTGCTTGTGCTTGGTCCTGAACAGAAAGGTAATGGTGTTGCTGAGCTTCAATTTGCTGAATGTTGACCCAGTCATCACCCTCTCCGGAGAACGCAGATAGTTTTAACACATCGGCTGGGCGTTCATTCGCACTTCTCGAGCTGACTGGCCAGCACTGTTCTTGAAAATAATGCTTGATATCTGCACCGCAATCAGATAGATCTGTAATCATGTCGTCCGCGTCTTTCCCACGAAACATTGCAAGGTCTAGAGCCGATAGCATAAAGTCTGACCGGCCATGACCTAAATAGTCGCGGACCGGATATACCCTCGCCCCAGATGAAAATAGCATCTGGTATCCTACCCCCCAATGTGCATCGATCGCAATTAGTATGGGGGGCTTTCCACTCGATGAACCTTTTGCGTCTGCGCCGCCTTGCAATAAGGCTCTCACGACATCAGCTTCATAGCTTTTGTTCTCGGTCATTCTTTCAATTGCCACTTGCAGTGGGGTGAGACCCTGCCGGGCGCCGTTTCTATAAGTTTCGTTGGGTTGGGCACCCAAGCATAGTAGTGTTTCCACTCCAGCTACATTCAGAAAGTCGTAGTCAACAAGTCTGCACAGGACGTCGGTGAGGCGGTCTTTGTGGCAGAAGAAGCCAGAGAGATGGGATCTTAAGGCCTTGCTAAGTGTATGGACGACATCTCTACACTCTGGCCCTTTTGAATCGCATAATAAGTGATGTAAAAGCCGAAGATGACGATTGGCATGCGCCCAGAGTGCGATGTTGTTGTTTGACTTATCATCATCCCAGGGAAAGATAAGACCAGGAGCATTCTCATTTATCAGCTTCAAGAAAAGATCGTTAAACTTAGTCTCTTCTTGAAGATTGAAATAAGGTCGTGACGTGTGATCAAGCCAATGTGCC